TAAAAAAAAAATCGGAAAAATTAAATAAGGCATCTTGATGATCCGTTTTTAATAAATGACATTTTTGAGAAACTTCAGGAATTTATTGGTACAGTATTTTACTGTGATGATGACGTTGATGTACCAAAAAAGTATATTGTTTCTGAATTATAACCACAAAAATGGACATAACAAAGTAAAATCAAATGAGTGTATTTTTAGTCATTTTTGAGAAACTTTTATTTTTTAAAGACTTTTTCAAGTTATATTTTACTGTGATCCAACATCGATAGTCGGGGAGCAGCTGAACTCTGAGAGGACAGAGAAGAAAAGACCTGTCCACCGTTGGTCTGTCCCCACTTCCAGAGACAATGATACCAGCTGATGCCAGCTGCCTGCCTGGCAACCAGCCTGGCTTGTGGCATGTCAGCTGGAGGAGGAGAAGTTTTGTACTTGTCCAATGAACCATGGCTGGGTTTAGTATCTGGTGCCTGGCGGCCCGTCGTGTCCAAGTGTGTGTCCGCGTGTGTGTGTCCTGTGTTTTATGAAAACGAGTAGGTGATGTGGCTGCGGTGTCAAACTATTAAAAGGATATTTCAGGTGTTTTAGGGCATCATGAGAAACACAACAACTTTCTAGTTTGATCTGTTTTCCAGTTGACTGCAGCACTAACCCACTCACCAAAGTGCCTGAAGTTTGGTTTTTATTTCCTTTGGTTTTGTTTTGTGTAAAATGACAAAGAAAAGCCAGAAAAGGGAGAAACTTGATTTTTCTCCTGGCTACATGTTTGTCGATTACTAGGTCACTGACTATTACTTTTCTGTTCTGTGATCAAATTGAATACACTAGAAAGGAGATCTGTTGCTGATTCAGGTTACCACATCCGGACTCTGTTGTATGAAATGGGGGTGAGGTTTGTAACAGTGTTCACCGGAGCAACTGGGATCAGCGTTTGGTCACACGTGGAAATGGTTGACTGTGGGAATGATGGATAAAACTAGAGACGAGATATAACTATGACAGTGATGATGATGATGATGATGATGATGATGATGATTAGAACAGTGATCACAACGATTACAATTATTTTAATGATTTAAATGATTGATGATGATGATGATGATGATGAGATCAGAGGAAAGTGTGGTGGAGTTTCTTCTTCTGTCAGTTAAACCTCAGTGGGTTTCATGACTGGATCTATATTCATTAGTTCATCTATGGATGGATGGATGGATGGATGGATGGACGGATGGACGGATGGACACCTGGATGTAAAATTGGTTTAGACAAAGATGAGTCCATGAAAAACATCTAAAGAAAATATTTTCATGCAGAAAGACCTGATCATCATCAGGTTTTCCAAGTGGTGAAGTTCTTCATTGTCTTCTTCGTCTTCTTCTTTTTCTTCGTCTTCTTCTTCGTCTTCTACTTCTTCTTCGTCTTCTTCTTTTTCTTCTTCTTCTTCTTTGTCTTCTACTTCTTCTTCGTCTTCTTCTTTTTCTTCTTCTTCTTCTTTGTCTTCTACTTCTTCTTCGTCTTCTTCTTTTTCTTCTTCTTCTTCTTTGTCTTCTACTTCTTCTTCGTCTTCTTCTTTTTCTTCTTCTTCTTCTTTGTCTTCTACTTCTTCTTCGTCTTCTTCTTTTTCTTCTTCTTCTTCTTTGTCTTCTACTTCTTCTTCGTCTTCTTCTTTTTCTTCGTCTTCTTCTTCGTCTTCACTTATTGGCCTTTAAACATGTGCCCTCTTTTCTCCACCATGCCAGCCTCCTGTCTTTGTCCTCCTCAGCATGGTCTTTTTGTGTCAGCTCTCTCCCAGATGAGGCCTGGACACGTCCAGTCTCAAGCTTTCTGCTGTTCTCATGCCTTCCATCTTTCTTTTTTTCTTTTTCTCAGCCCATTAAAGCACGTTTCAAGCCAAGCTTCGCTGTCTCTTTGTTTTCCCCTACGCTTCCATCGATCTGACGTGGCCTGGCCTCCAGCAGAATAATGGCCTTAAAGATACACAGGAACTCAGTACACACTGACTGCCTTAGACAATACCAGCAACAATACCATCACATAAGGACAATACGGGCCAGACAGATTTCACTGAACAATGGTGTGTGTGTGTGTGTGTGTGTGTGTGTGTGTGTGTGTGTGTGTTACCAGTATGCCCAGCAGCAGGTTGCATAAGGACCCTCCCTTGTCAGTACTTTGCCAAATTCTCTGTATTGTTTGACCAAATCGCATCTCTCTAATCACTCTGACAACCACACACACACACACACACACACACACACACACACACCCACACCAGAGAGATTTCAGTATTATTAATGTCATACATCATATATTGGAACCGTTTTTTTTATTTATTTATTTTTATTGAAAACCAAGAACAAACTCAGCCAGATGTCGTTCAGTGTTCGTCGGTTCTGACACAGTTTTTTTTCTGATTTCAGTCCGGGACTAATGTGCAGTGGAAACATAAAGGCCTAATCCCATTTTTCATGTTTACTCCCCCTCTGCTCCTCCTCCCCCAGCCTCCCACCACGGACTTCAAACTAGCTTATGTTTTGGCAGGTGTTGCATAAATTGCTGCAGTATATGTTTCATTTGTTTTTCCGTGACTCGAACGACTGAGATGAACTCTCTCCTTGAAACAGTGTTACCAGTGTTACCAGTGTTACCAGTGTTACCAGTGTTACTGGCGTTAGTTGTAGTTCGAGGCGGGGACGGTCTCAGTACCCAACTCCAAATCGTTGAGGGTGTGGAGGGTGCTGTTGTGCTCAGTGCACTATGGGGAAATCCCCTCGTACGGTGGCAGCCTAGGCCTACACCAGCTGAACACAGCTGTGGTGCAGATTCAGCTATAAATAAGTAAATAAAAAAACACCAACTCAAACCGAGACACTTCTATGTTTAAGTTGAGCAGGAACAAACGCCCAAAAACTTACTCACTATCTGTGACATCAAATTTATTATCAGCTTTATGTATCATGTCTTCAGATACAGTGAGATGACATTTCATGATTCATGGATGCACCTGCTCCTCTCTCTCTCTCTGTCTCTCTCTTTCTCTCTCGCTCTCTCTCTGTCTCTCTCTTTCTCTCTTCCTCCCTCTCTCTCTCTCTCTCCCTCTCTCTCCCTTCTCTCTCTCTCTCTCTGTCTCTCTTTCTCTCTTCCTCTCTCTCTCTCTCTGTCTCTCTCCCCCTCTCTCTCTCTGTCTCTCTCTCTTTCTCTCTCTCTCTCTCTGGACATCTGGTCCATTCACTAAACCGGAGCAGCTTACTGAGTTCTATTCTGTGCAATTTTTCCATCTGCTTTTGGGATAATTCTTGGAACTTGGAACCTTCAGACTGCAGTCACAATGAGAAAGTCAACATTTGACCAGAACGTTTGTTGTGTAAAATATTACATGTGGGAATAATTCTCCTTTTCACTGTGTGAATACAATGAAAAAACTACATGTTATGACCCACGAAAAATGGGTCTCTCAAAGGTACTGCGAACATTTTGTTTTATAATTTTAGAATTGTTTTTTTATGTTTTAAATTTTCAATTTAACTTTTTAAATTGCTTTTAAATAAAAAAAGTTTATATATATATATAATTATTTATATTCAAGACCAACATTCCATCTTTTCCTAAGCAGTTAAAAAACAAAATAGATTCAGATTTCAGATTCTGCCTTCTACCACTAGAGGGACCCAATGTACCACATGTGGTACATGTACCATACTTTGAGAACCACTGATTGAACGTGTTTCTGGAACAGGAGTTTAGAGCAGGAGTAGGTTTCCGTTGTCTGCACCTGGTTGTTAGCACTTCATTTCAACCACACTTAAAAACGTAACTCCGCCTCCGCCTCCACCTCCCAGACCACACGAAACATATCACATTTAAGTCCAGGCTGCAACCTAAACCTCTGTGTGGGCCCAAAGGTGTGGTCACTTGGCAGGTGCAGCTCAGTTTTGGAGGAAAAACAGCAACAGCGGTGAGGGAGGAGAGGGAGCATTCAAAGAATTTGGCCAAAAGAGAGCTGGAGATAAAGGAGGTGACGGAGGAGGCCGGGACGGAGGGAGAACTCACAGGCATGAGTTGCAGGCAGCTGGTGTAATTACAGAGCGGCGAGTAGAGCCACAGAAGAAAGAGAGAGTGGTGGAGGAAACAAAACAAAACAAAAAAAAAAAGTTGTAGGAGAAGCGGAGCTGATCTCCTCCTCTGTCTGGCCTCTGTTCAGCCCTCAGCACCTGTCTGCCAGCTGGAGCCAGCACTTGGACCACACTTCACCTGGACCACTGGTGTTAGAGTCAGCTGTAATCACTGAAAATTATTATTATTATTATTATTATTATAATACAAATACCAGGGTATGCTCAAAAGTTCTTAGTGGAAACTTCCTGTTAATCAACTTTTTTAAATATGTGTTGTTTTGTTTTTTTATTTATTTATTTATTTATTTTTTGGACTAATCTGTTTTCAGCTCAGGGTGACTTTAAATTAGCGCCCACTTAAAAATTTAATTCATTATTTAATTAAATTTAATCCTAATCTGAGCAGCAGCAATATCAGAATAAAATACTACGACTTAATACTTAAAATTTCTCCAGTAATAGAAACAATGTCATGTATATAATAATAACATTAAATATTATTATCATGAAATATTTATTTAATAAGACTTTGGAACTTTTCTGACTGGTTCTTTTAAACATTTTCATCAAATTACATAAAAGTAATAAAAAATACCTGATTAAAAATATACTTTTTCACTAATATAAATATAAATATAAATGAGTTATAATTTTCTTTCAGACATTTTTATATTAGTCAGTTAAATATTACATAACAGAAGAAAATATTTTGCTTTAAGCAATACTAAAATTTATATATATATATATTTGTTGCCCAGGATTTGTATCAGCCTGTCAACATTGTTGGAGGAAGACTGTATTTTGATGATTATTGAAGACTTTGTATTTTTAAAAAACCCCATTTGGTCCATACACACTGTGCTTACTGTATACTCTGTGTATTCCCAGGGACAGCTCCCCTCCGGCAGGGACTCACTACCGTGTTTTAACACCAGGATGTGGAGCCTTTCTGCAGCAGGAGTGAACAATAAAATGTGTTGTATATCTAGGTAACAGCACACAACATCTCACACGTCTTGCATGTACAGATAATACAGGTGATATCCAGATCCTGTGACACGGCTGACAATAGCAGTTCAAGTTTTGGTTATTGTATCAGACAGAAATGGTTTTTCTGCTTCTGAATGCACAAAACCTACGATGTGTGTGTGTGTGTGTGTGTGTGTGTGTGTGTGTTGATGCCTCACACAGAGAGCTGTGACCTGGGGGCATGATCAGCCACTATACTGCTGCTGGACAGCAGCAAGACAGATTCACACTGAAGACTGGAAATCCCCTCTTGTTCACAGAAGGCTGCCAGTAGCCTGGAGGTGAGAGTAGAGTAAAAATATATATATAAAAAAAGGAAGGAAGCGAGAGTTCGAATGCCTGGGAAAGTCTGGGAGGAGTCACAGATTGGCATATCAGGCTTCATGCAGTGACGTGCAGTCAGGGGAAGCAGTGCCTCACTTGCCATCATGATAAAAAAGTACATGAACTAAATATTGATATTTTCTACTGATCTGTGTTAAAATGGATTTTCAGTATGACTCTACACATTTTTGATAATTTTCATTAACATTTTTCAACATATGACCAAAAATAAGGGTTTTGCCAAAGAAAAAAGCTTAAAAAAGGTTTTTCCTAAAACGTTTTCTAATTTTTTTATAAAACTTTTCCTTTTAAAAGACTTTTTAAAAACGTTAACAATAAATATTTACTAAAAGTTTTTCAAAATGACTAAAAATGCACCCATTTGTCTTAAAATACTTAGCTATATCCATTTTTGTGGTTAAAATTCAGAAAAATTGTACTTTTTTGGTACGCCAACTTTTGATCACAGTAAAATGATATGCCATTAAATTCCTAAACAAATCTCAGAAAATAAAAGTTTCTCAAAAATTACTAAAAATGCACTAATTTTTCTTAAAATACTTCGTTATGTCCATTTTTGTGGTAAAAATTCAGAAAAAATTTACTTTTTTGGTACGCCAACTTTTGATCACAGTAAAATACTATGCCAATAAATTCCTGAACAAATCTCCGAAAATAAAATTTTCTCAAAAATGACTAAAAATGCAATCATTTGTCTTAAAATGCTTCGCTATATCCATTTTTGTGGTAAAAATTCAGAAAAAATTTACTTTTTTGGTACGCCAACTTTTGATTACAGTAAACTACTATACCAATAAATTCCTGAACAAATCTCCGAAAATAAAAGTTTCTCAAAAATGACTAAAAATGCACTCATTTGTCTTAAAATACTTCGCAATATCCATTTTTAAGGTTAAAATTCAGAAAAAATTACTTTTTTGCTAAGCCAACTTTTGATCACAGTAAAATGCTATGCCAATAAATTCCTGAACAAATCTCAGAAAATAAAAGTTTCTCAAAAATTACTAAAAATGCACTAATTTTTCTTAAAATACTTTGCTATGTCCATTTTTGTGGTAAAAATTCAGAAAAAATTTACTTTTTTGGTACGCCAACTTTTGATCACAGTAAAATACTATGCCAATAAATTCCTGAACAAATCTCCGAAAATAAAAGTTTCTCAAAAATGACTAAAAATGCACTCATTTGTCTTAAAATGCTTCGCTACATCCATTTATCAAAACTCAAAAATTTATCAAAATCAAAACATGCAAGAAAAGATACAATTTTGAGAAATAATTAAAAAAAAAGTTTTAGGACTCTTGCATTTTAAAGCATTTCGAGGGATATTTTCATGATGGTAAGGC